AGAACGAAAACAACTGTCTAGTGCTTCCCGGTCTTCTATGGTATTCCAAATTGCGTCACTGCAATCCAAGGAGTACTGTACAAATCTCAAGTCTTGTTTTGGGACTACTCAATGGTAGTAAACATTCATGATCTCGACAGTAGCATTGTTTTTTAAGTAGTCTTTGCGAATTATTTGCTTAGTTTATTAGTCCATTTGAAATATCGAGTCATTTTATTAGTTTTGAGATTATTACGTATAACTTTACTTCATTTCTACAACACTGAGTATGTTTAACATTAATAGTAAATATTACTTAACACCACAATTAGGGTGATGTTATAAGACTGTTTTTAAAGTAGGTTAACCTTTTAATTGTAGTTCCAGATGAAACGCATGTTCATTAAAAGAAATAAAAAGAATGTTAAGAAATTTTTAAGTGTCATAATCGGAGACGTAATTATAGAGCTATTGGGACTGCAGGCTGATCTCCCTCAAAATTGATATTTTAACACTCATCGTTTATTGAGTTGTAACAAATATCCCAGTGTCTAGCTATCAATGTCGATTCTATTCTAAAGATCATGCAAGACTTTGTGTTTAATCACTAGATTGCATTATTAAAAACAATTTCTAACTGATTATAATCACTTACTATTGTGCACATACACACATTCTTAGGAAATAAAGAATGCCAAGTCTTCAGTGTGTACGTGTATAGCTTTTTGCTTTTTTTCTAAAAAGGAACACATTTACGCATGATTAATTGAATTCTAAGAAATAACATTTTTTTTGCTTTAACGGGATGTTAGTTGTTATTTTGTAGAGCTACGCTAACTTGATTTGATTGTGCATGTGTGTGTGTATGTATATGCATATGTGTATACTTGTGTATGATGTAAACTGTTCAAGAATTTGGACACATCAAAAATTTTGAGGCTGTCAGTTCTATGAAACATAGTGAACGAATATAAATATACTATAGTTTATTACATTGTATATAACTAGTGCAATGCATTTCAATTCGTCTGTATACGACTGTAAGAATAACCTAGTTTGCCCTTAGGAAGTTTATAGTGTTTAAAATTTTCTAAAGTATTGTACGGAATAAAAACTTGGTGGGGAAAACCACTTTATTGTTGAATATAAAATTACATAGTTGGTTAGCAAAATATGAAAATCATACATCAAACACATCATTTGCACATTTTTTGCGCTGCCCTTTATATATTTCATTATTCCTGTAATTCTGTTGTTATCTCGATTGCTCTCCGATTTCCTTCCTGTTCTCTATATTTCAATCTTCTGCTGCCAGGCCTTCCACTTTTGATTGGTGCTATATACTACTTATATCTGTCAACATAAGTAACATATACCATATTATGTTTGTAAGAAATGATTTGTTACTAAATATTTCTCTCGTTCATTAAATTTGTTTGCTGTCATATGTGTATGAAATAAACATGTTTTCGACGGAGGATTTCATCTAAAAATGATGTTAGTAATAGAATTGCTAGGCTGTGACTAGTTATGGTAGACATATTCAATAATGATTTATCCAAGTTCTAATGGTGCGTCGTGACTGTTGGGAGTCTTCGAGAATTTCTCAGAATCTGGGAAAATGTTGAAAATACATCACCCAATAAGTGCTAAGGGAGAACTTCCAAGAGATTTCTAGAGATACAATAGAATGTGCGTTACACTCTGATGGGGTAATTGCACATTTTGTTATTAAATTTAATGAGTTTCCAGAATCTTCCAACACATAAAGACCATCCATATCCAAATAAATCTCCTTTCCTGTACATAATTTAACCCTGTAGTAAGACTTCTATTCACACTTCCAGCCTTCTTTCTAGGGGAGTATAAAAAACTCGAGTACCAAACTTATCAGTGCCATTTAGAATCAACTAGAGATTATATGTTAAGCAATTATTGACCAATGATGACACCAAATGGAAAGATCGTATTTCACCAGTAAATTGACTAAATTCTAGTGAGAAGCTGTGACCAGTGGAGTCCACCCAGGTCTGTTGCGAGGCAATTACTCACTGAGAACAATGGTGGGTGGTAGCGCAATATCATGGATTGATTGAAGTTAACCATTAACACCGTTTGATATAAGCTCAGTGGTCTAGAGGTTAAGCGTTCATACGCGAGACCATAGGTCCTGGGTTCGAGTCTCATATGCGAGATCGTGGATGCACACTTCTCACGAGTCCCATACTAGGACAAAACGGCCGTCCAGGTTCTCACTAATGGTCTAACATTGATCCATTCACAATATTAATCTAAATTGACTGCAGTTGAAAAAACAACACAGAAACTATTGATAATTCGGCAAGGTGACTACTGTCTACTTGTCAAAAAACTTTGAATTTATCGTAGTTTCAATTCTTTTGCAAAGTTTATTGAATGTACATCAATTTCTTAGTGCTAGAGCAGAATGAAAAAAAACACAACAGTTATCTGATAGTTTTCTATCTTTAGAATACTTTCATTAAATATCATTTTGTAATGGGAACTATTATGATTACTTAAATAGATTATTTATTAAAATAAATTTTAATGAAAATGAATAATACTTGTAATCATTATTATAGTATAGAACATTTATTGATGATTTAAAATAAAGATTGTAATTTTTCAAACATGATGAATTATTAAGCAAAGATAGATAGTGGCTAGCAGTGGAATCCAGGATGCGCGTTTCGTCCTATTCGAGACTCGTCAGCTGAATGTACCTGCACCTCAGAGTCTCTCTGGGACTCGAATGCAGTGCCATTCGCTTCAAACGCCATCGCGTTATCCACTTCACTACTGAGTCCTGTTAGTTACTTGCTTGTGCAATGGGGTGAAGTTGAAATTCACTTGGTATTGTTTAGATCAACTATGGGAATGATTATTTAATTAGTTAAATAGTATTAGACAATTATTTCTTTGAATTACAATACTTTTCTTCTTCTTCGTAATTAATGCGCGTATTTGTAACTAGATGGTTTTTAAGTTTAACAATAATTGCTGTTTCAGGTTAATATTTTCATTGTTTAATTTTTAATAATAAGAAAAGTAGGCTGATTATGTGTTGCTACACAGTAAGTATCTATGTGAAAATTATTGATCGTCCTTTTTTTCTTTCTATGAAAGCGTTCATCATTGATAACAGCTGATATCATTTATTTCCGTTAAGAGTTATAACCACATCATATTATGGTAGAATGTTAAATAACCAATAGAAATCGATACAAAAATAACTTAGATAATATTTCTTGTATCATAACATGTGTTTTACCAATTATTTTGTCGGATTGTTTTTGACACAAGCGAATAATTTTGTGAGGATAGCCCACGGGTGAACTCAAGGAAGCTCTAAGGAGCTCAGAAAGAGCCGAAGATATTCCATCTAATCATCTTTTGGAAGAATATTCTAGAATCCCTACGTGCAGCTTCCCTATTGAACAAATGCTAAAAACTCCCTGTATGCAGATTGGATGACTATAATTATGATTTCGTTTTTACTAAAAAATATATAAATACCTGGGAGTTTTGTACCATATTTGACACGGTTTGGAATAGTATTCCTTCCATTTGTCTTCCGTCTTCTCATTTACGACTTGGAAGGTCCTAGAGCTCTAGTGCTCAAGTTGTACGCGGTATATTAGGCATCCAAGCTCTAGATATAACAAATTTTGACATAATCTAATTATTTAGACAATGTATTCTGTTAAGCTTCACATGTTATATAAAATAGTTTGTGGAAATTGTAGAGTATTACAGTTTACATTATGAACTGACTTTTGTTAGACAGATATTGACCGCATTAGAGATCAAATTAGCTTATCATTAAGTTGACATCTAATGGTTCACATTTCTAACTTCAGTGAATTTATGATATTATATAACCATTATTCAGCACCATTCGTGGGTAATGGCTTCACAACTGACATAGTTGGAATGGCACACAAGGATGAAACGACTGTTTAAAGCCTTTTAGTTTTCATTATTTGTATGACGCAAGCCAGTTTGTACTGATGTAAACTACAGAAAACATGTTAAGCTATTAAGCTATTTTGAGATAAAAAAAAGAGACTTATGTTTATTATTATTTATATTCTAATTGATTCGGAAACATTCAAAATATCTAAAACCTCAGGTGATTCTTCAAAGTTTCCCAAATTGTAAAAGAACTTATTCAACAAAGGAATCCTTTTTTCAATGAGCTTATTCTCAACACTGTACAATTATATATATATATGCTGAGGAGTTCCATACTAGGAAAAACGGCTATTCAGTGCTTCCAGCTTTTCAATAGTGATCTGACATGGATCGGTTCATGATCTCAATAAGAATTTTACTAGTCATTTTAAGTTTGATTACGTAATTTTTAAATTAACAAACGTTTAGTGATGGGAGGAATTTTCCAAATTATGCAAATGTCATATCAAGAAATATTGTTAAATATTTGCCAAAAGTTCAGATAATAGGTACTGGACATGTTAGAAAGTTTATGAAATGGAATAAAACTTATTTCAACGAAAGTGTAACAAAAAAACCTTCATTTCTGTATCACTTTTGAATACTTTAACAATATATCATTTAGTGAGGTACGGTGCTGATATATGAAAGCAAAATATAGATAACTTGACACTAATTAACAATCTGTTACCCTCTTCATATTTATGGTACTAATTGGTCGAGGGCTAAAACACCTAGATTTCGACCAATTGGTCTTAGGTTCATTGTCTACTTCAATTACTTTGGTGTGAGTAGATAAGTGGTGTTGTTATCTCTTAAAAAATAGTGTGGTAGAAACCACAGTACATAAACGTGTCTTTGGTAAATGAATTACGTAATATATATTCACGATCATAAGCGATACCCCAACACTTCTCATACTCTTAATAATTAATTCATATGCCAATATACACTCACTACTCGATACGTTTGATCAATTTTGTAATCAGTATCCTCCTGCTTAACGAAAACTGACGGTTTTTTTTAAAATGATATTTTCTTTCCAGATCAAGAAGAATTAACTGGATCGACCAATTTTGTACGTGTGTATGCGTTCTTGTGTAAATAAATAAATAAACATATACGTACGTCTGTGTACGTGATTGATTGGCTGTGTGCACACACACATATACATACTTGTTTACTACTCTCTTAATTCTATCATGCTTCATAGTGTTGGTCTTAGTGATCCAACTGGAGCAGCGACAGTGGTTTATCCACATTTTACACCATTCCCACCACCAAATTCATCAACATTAAATTCCAATGAAAATTCTAGTCAGTTTCCAAATAATACAACTAATAACAGTAATGGTAATAATAATGCTAACAATAATGGTATGTACACATCGAGTACAGCCGCAGCAGCAGCGGCAGCGGTTGCTGCGTTAACTGCCGCTGCAGCTGCATCAGCTGGTCTACCGTCGAATATTAAAGATTCCAGATGGTTAACACTTGAAGTATGCCGACAATATCAACGAAATCAATGTTCAAGAGATGAAAATGAATGTAAATTCGCTCATCCACCAACACATGTCGATGTACAAAGTGGACGTGTTATTTGTTGTTATGATTCAATTAAAGTAAGTTGTCTATAATTCCATCGACAATTGATTGATTGTTTAGTTCATTGATTTTATTATTTACTAATATAGTAGTGTATATATACTTTTAAGCCAATTGGAAATAAGTTGCTAACTTTTCCTTGTTTTTTTTGCTGAAAGTTCGAAAACAATTGCCAACTTAGTATTCACATTTGTGAAAGAGTTTCATGAATAATATCTGTGTTTTTAGTACTTAAATTGTTAAAGATAAGTAAGAAAAAACCTTTTCTGTTATCATGAGCCAATTGAAGCTAGACCACGATGGATAACCTGGAAGCACTGGACGACCGTTTCATCCCAGTATGGGACTCCTCAGAAGTGCGCATCCACGGTACCACTTTGCGAGATAGGTCCCGCGTTCAAATCCCGCAAGTGGAATCGTGGATGCGCACTGCTGAAGAGTCCCACAGCAGGACGAAACGGCTGTCTAGTGCTTCCAGGTTTTTCATGATGACCTAGCTTCAACTGACTTATGATCTCAACTATTAAAATTACTATAATATCTACAAGACTCCTTCTGATATTTCGTTATGATCTGATTGAAAAGATATGATGATGATGATGATGAAAGTGCTTATTGATTGTAATCCTATTTTCCTACATTTAAATGAATGTATCATCCTAATCATAACGTTATTACTGAACTGAACTGAATAACAGATACTCTGGCATCTTACAAATAATTAAAAAAGATTAGAATTTACAAATTTATGCTGGATAATTAATAGTTTATTGTTTTATAAAATTATTTTACCAGATTTTCAATGAGTGTCACATATAAATACCATAAAACTATAAGGAATCTATTGTGAAGCTATTTAGGACCTTGAAGATAAATTGAACATAAACTCATCTACTGTTGAATGAATAGATCTATCATCACAAATATACTTTGCTTTAAGGAATGGAAAAGAAAAATCTTTTTATAAACAAAGATGTATAGTGGTTAGCAGTGGAATTCAGGATGCGCGTTTCGTCCTATTTAGGCTCGTCGGCTGGATGTACCTGCATCTCAGAGTTGATGTTCACTCCGGGACTCCAACCCAGTACCGTTCGCGTTATCCACTTACCTACTGAGTCCTGATGGTCACCTGCTTGTGTAAATGGGGTGAAGTTTAAATTCACTTGATGTTGTTTTACTTGTATCTTCTCATTATTATTTAGGACTGCTATTGATCAGTCTAGTGTTGACATATGTGCATCCTGTGCGGATTGCCTCGATATAGCCTTAAGTCACAAGCTTTTTAGATAGCATGATAGACTAGTTAAAACATTGATCGCTTAAATATCACTCGATGATTTATCCACCTCCCCATGTATATATGTAATGAAATCCTATTATTAGCCTTTGCTTTGCCTTGCTGCGCCCTTGCGCAGTTTGACTAAACATTTACCTATGTAATCACTCGTATGTACGTATGCGCCTCTCCGCTTCAAATACGCTCGATATGCTTATAGCTTTGTGATCTGCGCTATCCGCTAATAAACTGTAGTTGCCGCTTCTCTTTGCCTTTTAATTTCAAATATCGTTGAGGTTTATATAATAATGGTTACGAGGGTGATTGGTTAACGAAACAAAGCCACTACAATATTTTTATATATATTGCTAAGCTCCTGAAGGACCTTCAAATCAAACAACATATATATTTGTATGTTTACTTATTTACAAAAATGGTGTGTAATATTACATTCTATACATACATTTTACATGATGTCGATTAGAAAATGCTGATCTAGATTCTTTATAGATCTCTCATTGAAAAATGCTTCGGTTCGGTTACTATATCTAATATCTTATCCTAATTTGTATAAATGGAGATTTGTTTTTGGTTAATAAACTCAAATACGTTCTATTCTTTTCATAAATAATGATAGTAATACTTACTTTATTCAATGACATAACTGTTTGCTTGCAATAAAGAATATTCAGCAAAATAAATATATAAAACTACAATAAAATCATCCTTTCACAAGGATTTAACTCGTGAATATTCAACAAAAGATGTATAGAAAGTGTCCAAACATTGATTCACTACAATGAATATATTCATCTATAGATGTTCACGATCAGTCTTACTCTCATGACACATCTATTTTCATATATTTGATGTATGAATTTTAAGGTACTTGTCTCTTATTTCTCCAAAGGACAGACAAACAAGACCCAGGAACTATACGAACCATCATGTTAATGGTACCTTTTGAATATTTCAATAATTATATTCATGATACGATCGTGAACATTTCATAAAGTCATGTAATTCGATATGATTGCTAGACACCAAAATTTCAGAGGAATAAATCTATGTATTGGAAATGCGATGGCCTAGAAGTTTTAGTAGGCTACTGTATTCAAATAAATATAATTGCAGGGTCATGTTGCCAATGTCATTAGTTAATTTGATTATTTGTATAAAAGATGTAAATGGACTTTTTTTTGGAAAATGACCCGAATTTAGCACAGTATTTATTATTATTATGAAGTTGAAACTATTCAAAGGACATTCTAAACGATCCACCTTTTCATTTGGTTCTTCAGAAGTAGTTGATTTTATTCTCAAAAGATCCCTATTTCAACAAAAATATAATATATATCGATGATAACTAATTCCGATTTGCTAGTAGAAACGGGAATATTTCAGTTGTTAATACTAGAAACTAGAATCGATCAATATCTATTGACGTGTGTATATTCTCAGTGGAATACCTCATTATTGACTTTAAGTTATAAGTTTTGTGTAAATTTGAGTAATTGCTAACAATAAACCCTGAGACGATTGTTTTTGTTGATCTGCAATCAATAAGCTCGAGCGAAAGGTTCTAGGTTTAACTTTTAGTGTAAACATCAACATCGTAATGAGAGAACATTCAGCTGAGATGTTCGGAGTATGAAGAAATACAAATTCTGGATTTTACTGCTATCTGTCATTCAGTTTTACTTAAAAACTGATGATAATCATCATGTTGAAATTTTTCATCATCCGGTTATGTTTATGTGTATGTTGCAATATCCATTCTCCTTCTACACATCTACTTTTAATTCAATCTCTCTCTTTCTTTTTTTTAACATGGTTTTGGTTTTTTTCTTCTTCTCTATTCCCTCGTTATACATGAATGAATGTATGTATACTGGTTGGGTATGTGCAAATGGCTGTTCCTCGGAACAAACAAACAAACAAACAAACATTTAACCAACTAATTTCATGTCAAATTTTATTTTTAAAAGATCAAAAATGGAACTGGAATTTTTAACGACGGCACATATAGATATATGTATCAAAGAAAATCTGGTTTGATAAATGATGGTAGATTTTCTTTCATGTTTCTTTCTTTCTTCTTCTTCTTCTTCTTCTTCTCCTTCTTCTTCTTATATTTATTCGTTTGTAATTTCCTTTTGTCATTAGTAGTTGCTTACTTACTTACTTACTAACTGACTGACTTACTTTCTTACCTACTTATCTTCCGTTTGCGTATTTCTTTCGATTTATAGTATAATAGTATAAAGAGTTTTTCTTTTATTAATTTGATTATTTTATTAATAAGAGAAAATTAAACAAACCCTAGAATTTGTATCCGTCTACGTTCAATTCTAAAATAAAAAAAGGGATTTAGTTTTTACATATCTGTGACATTACCCCACAAAACTGTTCACTTTATTCTTTTCCATTGATGACTAAGCAAATTTAATCTACTGATAAAAGTTTTGTAATTTCATAATATGGAAATTAACTGGTCACATTTTTTATTCCTTAGTGAGGATCAAGTTGTATCTAAACGATTATATTATGAATAGTGATTTAAATAATTCGATATATTGTGATGTGTGCTACTTATATCGACATAAGTAGTATATGATGTTAGTCAGGAACAGAATGTCTGGCAGCAGAGACACAAGAGGATCGAACAGTAAAGAATGGGAACAGAATGCAATTTGTATGAAAATGCAAGAACAATGAAGTCTGAGTCATTAAGAGACAATTGATGGACATTTTGCAAATTACTTATTTACTATTTGATTGTTAGATTTTATTAACAAGTCCTGTAATTTTACGTCAAATACATTCGATTGTCCTCACTGGTGTTCTTGTTCACCACAATATGATGTTACATTTTGTACAAGATTAAGAAAGTAATTGTTCAACAGCACAATTAGTTTATTAATCATTCATTGAATTGTGTTGCCAGATGACACAGATTCATGTCACAGTGAAGAGAGTGTCATTGTCTGTAAGCTTTATTGTTACACTTTGTTTGCTACTGTTTTTATAACTAGAATAAAATATAATTAGAAGATGGAGTTGATCTGAAAATGTGATGTATTTGCGTGATACATTATAAAAATGCCCTGACATGTATATGTGTAACCAGATTGTTCGAAATATATAGCGCAAATACGTCACATTTTTCACATCAACTTCGTCTTCTAATTGCTTTATCGAAATTTATAAAAGGGACTAATTGCTTTAAAATAAAATTCTAGAATTTCTTAATGGATTATCTCTAACCGCTTAACGTAATATTGTATCCAATGGTAGACAATAATCATACTAGATTGAGGTAAGCTTTGATCCGTAAATGGTATTAATTAGCTAATCAATATCAATGATAAATAACTATTTTGAAATAATGTCATTAGCGGACATTTGAAGATTATAAAACTTTTAAACGTATTGGATTTTAGGCCAATGGAACGAACGGGTAACAACACTATGCAAGATGATAGTAATATAGTCTACGGGTTAAATATTTTTTATACCCAAATAATAGAACAATAGAACTCCTTTTGTATTTGTAAAATCATTTCGGCAAATAATACTGTAAAATTGCTTGTTATATTAGATAAATGAATATAATCTAATGGTTGAATTCATGAGTCAATTGAAGCTAGACTATCATGAAAAACCTGGAAGCACTGAACAGCCGTTTCGCCCTAGTATGAGACTCCTGAGCAGCGCGCATCTGCAGTCTCACTCGCGGGATTTGAACGCAGGACCTATCAGTCTCGCGAGCGAACGCCTAACCTCTAGATCACTGAGCTGGCATCCAACGATGTTACTGTCTAGCTTCAACCAATCCAATTCAACCATTGAATTACTAAAATTTCCACAAAACCCCCTTCTGAAAATAAATAAAACATGATATTGTTACTACACTACATTGTTCAGATTCTGTCTTTTTATTTGTATTACATGAAGCATTAAGTGTTTTCACACCTACTAATACATTCATTAAAACAAGGCCTATTATTTACAAACAGGTTCTAATAACACGTTTTAGGTAACTTGAATCAAGTATGATTGGTAAAAAAAACATGAATGTCAAGGTCATCTCTATGATTATTGTGAAAAATTGTGAAAATAGTAATCAATAACGTTCAATTGTAAATATAGGAATTGATAAAATTATTAGTGAGGAAATTAAAACTAAGCAACTACCAACGATCATTCGCTACAGTCAATCAGTTAGTGAACTATAAACAACTGAAGTTATAGTACTTCTTAACGGGATAGCAAAAGCGAAATGTATCAAAAATAGTTGTAAATCAAACGCATTGAAATAATCATAGTATCGGTAGTAGAATACTGAATATATAATTATTTGGTCTCGAAAAGAACAGATGAAAAATTCGATACATTGATAAAATTAAAAAGAAAGACCGAACAACTATTTTGTTGTAGTTTGAGTCTCTATAAATTAAGACATTCGTGACCCGATTAGGAATTTAACGGTTTACATGTAATGTTTCTAACAGGCGACAAATCAATTTCATCAACAGGAAGGGGGTATGGGACATTGCTGAATAATTTCAAACTAGGATGTAACAACAATCCGCCCACAGTTTCTAATTGTTCCCTCCTTAGCTAAAAATAATGTCATTCATTCTTTAATGTCGACTAATCTTAAATTCCAAATTATACTTTTTTATAACAGAAGAAAAAAAACGAAACAGATTACTTTAGATGATTTTTCATTCTTTCTGTCAGAGCCATTCTTGTTTATTTCAATGATTGATTTGAAGCAAACAATGTAATCTTTCAACATACAATAAATGATGAACAATAAATAAATCGAATTCCAGGCTGAAAAAAAATTAGAAAGAATTCATCTAGGTAGATTTGTTTTTCTTTGTTTGTTTGTTGTTGTTTAATCAAGGGAAAACATCAAAAAGGGCTGTTTGTATATTGGATGATACATTGTGTACGCCTGTATGTTTATGTGCAGATAAGTGTAATCAAAAATAAATTTGTACCAGTAGTAATAAGTAAACATTATTGTGTTTATCTTAGATTAATATAGTACTGATAAGAGAAAAAAATCGCTTAGAGTATACTGAACTGAAGCGATACTGATTTATAGTACAAAGATAAAATAAAGATTAGATAGTAAATATCCTTATTGTGGTCAAGTCAAGATAACATGATGGTAAATCGATTGGAAAGATAGGATTGTATTGAATGTTTTAGAATTAGTTTACAATATAATAAAGTCAAGTCACACTTTTAAAAAAAATTGCTCCGCTACAACATGACACCATTTGAACTGATACACTATTATTATTATAAAGGTTTGAGTCTCTGTACTCCGTCCTTTAACTAGTCAACTTAAACAGACATTGATTTTACATAGCTTTCAATAACTTGGTCTAATCTAAAGAGATTACATTTTTATCATATTGGAATAGTTGACTAATAAGTTACTTGTATGATTTATATATAGCCGAATAAGTGTTTGCTAACAGAATCGATTTCTGAATACGATTGCCTATCTGATTATAATAGGGAATTCAAACTATTATTTATTCATACCACATATCCAATCATAACAATATGTTATACAGTTCTTCCCATTTTTCTCTTTCGTCTTAGTTTCTATATATGTGTGCACCGGATCGTATACATTGTAAGAACAGTAAGGTTACAAAAAACCTATAATGTAAGTGGATGGTAATAGTCGAACTGTAAAAGTAGATATTGTAAATCGATAAATTCTAAGTCATTATTCTCAATTTATACAATACACTTGTTTTCAAACGGTAATCTCATAAACCCCGAATATGTCATCAATATTGTAAATATTCTGAGAAACATTAATGTAAGCATCAAAAGAACTTATAAAATACCTTTTACTTTTCAATAATTCTTCTATTGATTTTCATGATTTCTTTTTATTTTCTTCAGAAATATAGTAACATCAATGATAATATTCAATAAAGATAGAATAAAGTAAACTTCCATTCACATTGATTGAGATCATGTTAGACCACCATTGAGAATCTGGAAGCATTAGACGGCCGTTTCGTCCTAGTATGGGACTCTTCAGCAGTGCGCATCCACGAAACGACTGTCCAGTGCTTCCAGATTTTCACTGGTGGCCTAACATCGATCGATTTCTGATCTCAATCAATATATACATATATATGTATATGTATCAATGACAATTAATGAAATATACGTGTTATTGAAAAAAACCACTGAAAATACTCTTTTTAATAAGCACAAATATAAAGAAAGAAAATAGAGAAGAAATGAAATGAATGAAATTAGAAGACAGAAGTTATTTATTTATAATCAAAAAGAAGGAGAACTTTATCATCTGTGTAGTATTTTATAAATCAATACTGTTATTCGTATTTAATGGTATCGAATTAATATATCTTATTATTGAAGTAATGAAAATGGCGAAAATAGACAAGAATAGGAAGAAGTGAAGATGGAGACAAGAAAATAATAGATACACTCTTGTAAACATTGTATTCGTTTATATGTACATATGATTTAATCATGATTGTGTATGTATTTTACCTCAATCTCTATATTAAATTATACTTTTCTCTGTTCATTACCATATCAATACATATCAACTTGACAGATATGCAAGGAAGTGAGAGGGGAGAGGAGACAATGAAAAGGAAACAGACTTTGTTGCTCTTGCCTATCTGTACAGATTTTGTCATATTATTAGGTTACTATTTCGAATGACTGCTGTGGTCGGTACATATATATATTCTGACATTCCTCTTTTTTTTTCTTCTCCTCCTATCTCTCTTTTCTTTTTTTCTGAATATGATTGTTTTCTTGTAATATTTCGAATGGTAAATAGTTATTTATAAGCAAAATGACATACACAACTATCCAATATTGAGATTATTTAGTATTTGTGAACTAAATTATTTTTGGTATCAATGTGAGCTATTAAACAGTAGTATTAGCACTAGTATTCGTAATAATAGTAATAAAAATAATAATAATAATAATAATAATAATAATAATTGTGATATTAGTATTAGTATTAGCAGTGGGTAGTATGTGTAGCTGTTTATGTTTGATCACAGTGTAGACGTCGATTATTGACTTAAACCAGTATATATTGATAGATAAGACTCAATATTTATTTGTTATTGACAAACAATCGATTTTAGAATTGTGTTTAGTTGTGAAATTTTGGATGAGTATGATATTCATTATTATTATTATTATTATTATTATTATTATTATTATTATCATTATTCAAATTTGTTTTTCCGTTGATGCCGATAAACGCTGTTGAAATATCGACTTTATTATGGGACTTAGTCACAAGTTATGTAAATAATCCTCTTACCTCTCGTGGAGGATTATAAGCCGCCAACCAGCATTTCCCACCCAACTCTGTCCTGGGCAATCTTTCTTTTCAGTTACTATTTGTTCACTGGGATACCTAATGACTCAATGGATAATTATACTTCGAGTTGAAGGTGTACACTTGTTAAGGGATTTAAATCAAAAGGGTTGCCAAATATTTTCTTTTCTTTCCAATGATTTCCAAAATGATACTACTCCATTAAGAGAATCACTTTCAAAATAATCATTTTAAGATCATAGATGGATTTTTATTCATACAGTGATACAATTTTCATTCAATATCCGATCTTTAATAAACAAACAACTTTCAAATGGTCTTTGAAGTTATTTTCTTCTGCTTCGTACTTTAATTGAATGAAAACTTTTATTATTTTCTTGTTGTAGGGTAAATGTCAACGTCGAGATCCACCTTGTAAGTATTTGCATCCACCACAACATTTACGTGAACAATTAATACAAAATGGTCGAAATAATATGATTATGAGAAATGTACAGTTTCAATTGTTACAACAACAATTATTAGCCCAAACTGGTGTTGGTCCATTGGCAGCGGCAGCAGCGGCTGCCGCTGCAGCAAATCCAACTCAAGGAACATTAGCAAATAATTCAAATTCTGTAAGTAATAAAATCAGTATTAATTTTGTCTATCTATATGATAAATACTTGAGTAATATCCAAAAGTTACTTAAATGTTTGATAACTAAAATCACTGATTTTTTTCCAGAAAAATATTCTAACATGTGAATTAGCTACTTATTAGTAGTCAAACTATCTATGGAAAGTATTTTGAAGTTAAGGTTCTTTTAATGTATTGAAATAATGGAGTTTCTGCTGTTATAGATTTTACCACAGAAATCAGTTAAAAGGCATACTTTCTATATTATAGTCCTGAAGCTACATATATTGTTTTTTTGTTAGTGTAACTGACAACAGATACTTGGGTCAAATAATCTAAACGTATATTAATAAATTTTAGTATCTATGTTAGATGGTTGAACGTAGCCTATAGGAACCCTGCGTCTACGTATCGTGATTTTCCACATTCATCAGCAAAGTATACTTTCAGTATTTGAAGAACTGGCGAGTACAACCACTTGCTACTGTTTCACAGTTTGAGACATTACTACTACGTTATTTTGCTTGTGACTGAAGCGTTTTATAGGCCTGAAATATTTGCAATTGATTGGTCACTGAGTAACAATCAATGTCATGATTGTCTAGTTCTTTAGCGCTATTCGAATTACAACTTGATCTCAACATAATGCATTGAATGTTAAGTGGCTTAGACTAGTGTCCACATTATGATTTAATCGACAGAATTCGATCAACAATTAAGGATTAGATATATATGACATTAATTATTACTCAATGAGTAATCAGTTATTGGATATGCATTGGACAAGTTGTAAATAACATGACATTCTCTCTTTTTTTTTAACTAATATCCATATTAAAACTTTTATCAAATGTGCTAAATGGCGAATTCATGCCAGTTTATAGTTTCATTTTAAAAGATAGTTTGTATTCATAGTTTTCATTTCTTTTAACTGTTATCTTCTTACACATGGTCATAATGTTTTAATCATTTAGTCAGTCAGATGGATTATTCTTTCATTGTTCTAATAATCAACAGTAATTCAGGTTTTAAGATATGCAGATTTTCAGAAGGGTTTTGTGGAGATTTTAGAAATTTTAATAGTTGAAACCATGAGTCAATTGAATCTACACCACCATGGAAAACCTAGAAGCACTGGACGGCCGTTTCGTCTTAGTATGGATGCCGGCTCAGTGAACTAATGGTTAAGCACTCGCGCGCGAGACTGATAGGTCCTGGGTTTGAATCTTGCGGGGGGATTCGTGGATGTACACTGCTGAGGAGTCCTATGCTAGGACGAAGCCGCCTTTCACTGCTTTCAGGTTTTCCATGGTGATCTAGCTTCAATCGACTCATGAATTCAACTATTACATATATATATATATATATATATATATATATATATATATATATATATATATATTATATATATATATATATATATATATATAGTTTTTCTTAGCATAATTCGGCTATTTATATATCCCCTGAAGAAGTAACTTATACTAAACGACGAAACATCAATAATCGATTTTTCTACTCATCGAAATTTTACAAATAAATTATTGATTTTATTGTTGTCTATTTAATGTTTAATTTATTTCCAATTATTAGTATAAGATTTATTTAAGGATAAAAGTTCAATGGTAGATTTTAAGGATATTGTTATTTTGTATGCTATGTATAGTCTACATAGATAGAGCTGAGCATCTGATACACTTGCAATTAATAATTTTACTCGAAAGCGGCAATAAAAAATATTTGACCATCTTAAACTGACAGAGTTCTGTGTAAAGATACTGCTATCGAACAAGATAATTACGTAAGACTACAGTGTTTACATAATATGTAAATATAGCCTTCAATCATACATTTGCATCTTGCGATGTATTCTGTGATCTAAACTGTCTTCTCATCTGATCTTTAAGTGTTTTGCTTTCGCCGTGTTTTGGATTTACTAAATCTATTCTCTCCGTCTGACAACTGTAACAAATTTAAAGCCATGTTCTACTACATACTACTGATAAACAGTCTTGTGACTAATGTTCATCGCGTTTCTGTTCATTTTAACATTGCACTCATAAACTTAAAAATCATTCCCTCAATTATGAATAGTTCGTCTCTCTACTTATTTTTCTTATTAGGTATGCTTGTTTCTCCTTAGAATACCAACAATAATAATAATGATAATAACAACAGTTTTGTAGAATCGAACAACATTTTTTTCTTTCAAAAAAGAATATTAATTCAAACCAAACAATCTATTGCTTTATATTTCAAATGATCTTCATTGTCCATGTTAGTTTACGATCAATTGAAGAGCAAACAATATGGTTATGAAATGATAATAGGTATGATATTGTGTATGATAGAGCAAAAATAATTTATATCAGTAATAATAATAATAATAATAATAATAGTACTAGTAGTAGTATTCATAGTAGTAGTGTTTATCTTTACTTTACCCTATAAAACAATCACTATCAAACTAACATTATCAACATACAACTTGAATAGATTTCTATATTTCATTAGACAATTATAATTAAATGAGTTGTAGTGTAGTATTGTAAGAATTTCCCAAATTTTCTTTTCTTTAATATTTTTGTAGATTTCTTCTTTCTTTCTTTTTTCTTTCTTTCTTTCTTTGAGTAGAACACAAGTAGATTTCAGTTTGGATACTCATTTTTCCCCCTTTTGTTTGCACGTTAATTATTATGAATATTGATTTTGGGTGGCATGTTTTGTTGTTTTTTTTTCTTTTTTAAAAAAGCAACAAAACAAACAATTTCGAGTTTTTATAAACTTCATATGTTTAGGGTAACAATAAACAATCTAATTATGATTTGTTATTACGACATAACAATTCTTATTCCTAATTTGTCTCTAAGCTATACTTCAAAAAAAAGAAGAATATTCTAAAGAATATTTACTTGGTAGTAGGTGTAGTGAACGAGAACACAAGTAGGGACAATCGAATGTATTTGAATACAAAATTATGGAATATCTTAGTAAAATCTGAGAACAATATAGTGAATTCTTCATTTGTAAAATGTCAATCAATCGTTTCAAACTTCATTGTTCCTGCATTTTTATACCAATCGCTTTCTGTTCCCATTCTTTACTTGTCGATCTTCTGCTGGCAGACATTCTAATCTTGATTATTATAACATACTACTCGTGTCAATATAAGTAGCACACACCATAGTAGGTGCACCGAAAAAATTAATCCACATTTGAGTTTATACAATCATGTTGTCGGTTCGATTCAATGTTTATTAGTTAATGAGATTAACAAATGGAATAATTCTTAGTTGAACAGAAAATTTCATTGAAAATGCAGTAGAATTCAATTGCAAAAAATAAAATACATTAAATCGATAAGTGATTTTAAAGATTGATTTATTTCTTATATCATTGTATTTTGGGTATTTAGCATTCCCAACAATATACAGCTTTGAACCATATTGTTTATTTCAGGGTTAGTTACAGTATCCCTGATTATATGAGTTGAACTAAGTAATAAAGGGTATGAACTGGACCATACTTATTAAAATCTGTTAGTACTTTTACTAATAAGCCATTACTTTGTATTTGATTTTTTCAAAATAGCGTCAACTCTTCATAATTCACTTTTATCAAATACATTCAATGATATCATAACAACATAGGAATGATAGACAGAAGTTTTATCGAAATTCAGAAACTGAACTGATATAACGAATGGATTTGAAGTATTAGTCCAATCTATTACGTGACTTGGAAATAAAACTAGATTGGATGACAGAATTTTTACTACCGCTGGACTGGATATTCAAACGATTCCGCTATACAGAGACTAGATCACATTATACCAAATGTCAGATTCACGACTGAAATAGAGAGCTAGAGCAACCCTAGGCAATATTTTATTTCAACATAATTACAAGTAGCCAGTCTCAGTGAGCCAGGCGTAGAAATCCATAATAGGAAATGAAACTGCACATTTAATAGTCAGTAGGCTAAGTCCCTGTTTGTGTATACTCAGTGACCAATGATGTGACTATAAATATTGATTAACGCTTGACTAAATGGAGTTGGCTTGCCCTCCATCTGCACTTCGCTCCACTCCATTCGCTTCATATACAAAATATATGTATTGAAAAATCCTTCCTCGTTATTTGACTTATTTAACTCCGTTATTGACTAACGCGATTTAAGTCGATGATTATATACGAGGATAGGTGACATATGCATTTCGACAGCAATCATTCAATAACAACCATTCATACGATCTACTTGGTGTCAGATCCCAGGCCACTAAAGTGGAGAGCACGTCGACAAACATCGTCCGATCTGAATGACACCGAAATAAAGGGTCCCACAAAACAATTATATAAAAAAATCAAACAACACAAATCGGAAGACAATGAAAAACTAATAAATCCTACAATCAAACTTTATTGCTGGTTAGGTCATTAATAAGAGTTAAGAACAACCAGTTAAGTAGGTAGGTAGGTAGACAGTTAACTAAATATAATAAGAAATACTAAGCTAAAGTAACAATCTGTATACTATATGAATATAAAGTGTCATCAATTAAATACTGTTGTAAATTAGTAATATGATATGTGGGCGAGAATGATAATGATTGGTTGTCTGTTTAGCCAGTCATGTAGATAATCTGAATGGTATCAGATGAGTTATATAATCCCTATCTTTATTATTATTACTACTCACTTATTATTGATTTTTCATTGTTGTTGGATTGTGTCGGGTTTTGGTGTGGAAATATATTTACGTTGTGGTCAAGCTAATCACGTGTTCTTGATCCGAGTTGTGTTGAATTCCTGTAGAATAGACACTGGGAAGGAATCTAGTGTAGATATTCGTCTAAGGTAAATAAACGTCCCATACGTGTAAACGTGTAAACCCGACCGTTATAACATTAGACGTAGTAAAACCGAGCGTTATAACAGAAATTTAACATTTAGTGGAAAAGGACCTAATTTTGTAATTGTATTTAGAAAATTTGAATTTCTTTGTTTTCGCGCCAAAAGCGCTCTTTTCACCTCCATGTTGTATTTCCCAATTGGGAGAATCCTAAACGCTATCGGTCTGTTGTGTCTTTTGGTACGCTATTTTGTAACGCTTCCCAAGGATGGTTTTGTGCTGTATATATACGTTTTGATTTGTGTCTGTTGTTATCGCTCGTGCTTGTGGCTTTTTGCGGAATATACTGCTCCGTTCGAACTTCGACTTCTCTCCCTAGTTAGCGTGTCTGAGACGCAATAGAATAGCTAGTTTATTAGTCTTTGGTCACAAGTCAAGAAATTTATTTCTGTTAGGTATGCAGAGGAATATACCAATAATTATCGTGTCAAGTCTAATGGTGTCCTTGCACGTTAAATGTACACTCCCTATTGGTCGGTATTTATTTCACTTGTTAAATATTGTGTAAATGTTGTTTTCTATTTTTATGGTACGATGTGGTCTGTTTGGTTGGTATATAAACAGAGTATGTTTGAAATATAACGATTCATATCTCAGAGGCTGTGACTTGTGTTCTGGACTCAACTGGCTGGGCTAGACAGGGAAGCGGGACCAATCGAGACTCTAGGTCGTTCGTTATGTGTTATACGTGTCACTGAATCGATCGATAAATACGCTGCACATCTAACCTGTAGTCCATCCGTTACAACAATTTCATTTAATGATGGAATTATAATTTTGTGGATGACCTTTGAATGATGATCTCTGAAATGATCTTGAAAAAATTCAATCATTTACTAAAGTTGAAAGAAGATTATGCATTAAGATTTATTTTGATAAAATGGGGTCAGTAATTACAATTCGAGTTTTTATTACGAATCAACATTGGCCATAATGGCAAAATACTATTTAACCATAGACATGATTAAATCTTGCCCTAAAAATTTAAAACTTAATATCTTAAATCTACTTGGCTGGTTGATAAAGTTTAATCTTACAGAAATCATTTTTTATCCCGTTCATGATAAGTAGATACTGATAATGAAGAAAAGTGTAATTCTGACGCAAAGATTTTAGGTTTTCTAATAAGATTATTGTTAATATTGTCAAAGAATATCAATTTATAGGTAAATATTATTGTTTGTCAGTCAGTTACAATGTAGGATCAGGCACATATATGCATTGGTCCAAGTTGCCACACCTTATTAGCACAACAAGATCGACACCAAATTCATAGAAGTGGTCACTTCAGTGGTAGTAATGTATAAAAAAAAGATTGTGTATTAGAATATAATACAGGAAGAAAGAATTAGTTCATAGAAAGAAAGATACGAAGCGATTTTAATCTTATGGTTTAAGGGAAGACAGATAGTGTATACACCGACACCATTGTGATCGATTCTGAACCAGCTCACCTAGAGTCTCCAACCATTGGTTACGATAGTCAAGCAGACCACAACCGAGTAGTCTGCATCTACCAACATGCCTAAGACTAGAAGTTAATGACTTCAAGCACTGATGCTACACTTTGGTTTGGCCACTTCTAACTTTCTTCCAACCATCTCCAACACCGGTTAGCATTGCGCGTCGTGGTAATCAGTGGCCCAACCATTTTAGTCGATGAAGATTCACAAATACTAGTAACTTACGAGTATCTTTTACTCTTAATGGTCACGTTTCGTAGACGTAAATTAGAACAGGGCGAACTACTGGCAGTATATTCATCCCTTAATTGATAGACGGATATTATTGTTCAACACATATTGAATTGAATAGAGAAGAATAACATGAATTCATTATATTTCGTTAGGTTCTCATAAGTTGTTTTTTTTTTACAATCTATAATATTTTAGATAATCAAAATTATTGTATAGTTTACATATAACAACCTGTTAACTTATGTCATATAAAAGCCTTTAGTCCGATTGACCTGAAACTTTTTAAAATATGCTCTTAAGGCAAAACCTACTCTCTTCTGTCTATTCTACCAATATAACTACTTTAATAAATACATGTAAATTTGTATACACTATCAATGGTAACATGAAAATGGTACCTGTCAATGTATGATAAGAATGAAGAATATATTGTTTGAAACAAAAATAGTCAATTTGACTGTAAGATACATTTTAATCGGTATATTTTTCCAAATCATTTGTCACCTTTAAATCCAAATTGAATGAAAACAGATTTATTTTACTTCTCTACTATAATCTTCTTTTAAGTTCTATCCTTACTTCCCTTTCTCTCATATTTCCCAGTAAATCTTTAAGCAGGTTTATCTTTTTCAGAAAGAAGAAACATTCATTAATTCCGCTTCTAATTTATCAGTAGTATATATCATTTATTCTTGAAAAAAAAATGTTTAATAGACATTATTAACTCAATTTCCTATTATCATACACAAGTCATTGTTTTCAGTCTAATTTAAATAGCAACTTCTGTTTGTTCATTTGTTTTGTTTTTTTTCCCCTCATGTCAAACTTATTCAAGAATTTAAAAAAAAAACTGATTACATAGCAACTAAATACAGTTTTTCTTTTTGTCTTTCAAGTGACAGTAATTTTTTTTTCTCTCAACTAATAATCTGACAATTGAAATTGTCAAAGAAAATAAGACTTTTGTATGTTGGAAATAATTCAGTTTGTTTAAATTCAAATGATAAATGATTGTTCAGTTGTGATGATAATAATGATGATGCTCATGATGATGATTGATTCATGGGATTGGAGGCATTTTGTTTGAGATTTCATTGTTTTAACTTTTATAATAATATCAGAAAAGGTTTTGTTAAGATTGTAGAAATTTCACTGATTGAAATCATGAGTCAATTGAAGCTAGACCACCGTGGAAAACCTGGAAGCATTAGACGGCCGTTTCGTCCTAGTGTGGGACTCCTCGGTAGTGCGCATCCACGACCCCGCACCCCGCTAAGTTCCAACCCAGGACCTATCAGTCTCGCACCAGGCACTTAACCAACTAGACCACTGAGCCGGCCAGCATCCGACGGTGTTAATGTCTAACTTCAACCAATCCACGAAGTTGCGCTGCCGTATACCATTGTCTTCGGTGAGTTGATATCTCACAACAGACCTGGTTGAACTACACTGGTAACGGCTTCTCACTAGAACTCCAGGAGTATCTCTTGAAATCAGTAACTAGTAAGCAGATAATTATTATCAGAAGGGGTTTTGTGGAGATTTTACAAATTTCACTAACTGAAATGATGCCGGCTCAGTGATCTAATTAGTTAAGCGCCTGGTGCGAGACTGATAGATCCTGGGTTGGAACCTCAAGGGGTGCGGGGTCGTGGATGCGCACTACCGAGGAGTCCCATACTAGGACGAAACGGCCGTCTAATGCTTCCAGGTTTTCTATGGTGATCTAGCTTCAATTGACTCATGATTTTAATCTGTGAAATTTAGAATAATAATTATTTTTATTTGAAAAGAAAATTATGTAATTAGTCAGTTTCTATGATCACATCTATATATATATATATATATATATATATATATATATATATATATATATATATATATATACATTCTATTTAGGTTATGTTTATAGTTGATTAAGGCTAATGGAAGAATTCAAAACTGATGTTTTGTATTGTTTTAGGATTTACCAATTAAGGATATGTTATCGTTTTAGAGTTGATGAGTCCTAGTTAATACAAAACATGCCGTATGAATTCTGTCACTAGTCACAATCTAGAGATGATAAAAATTTATTGTGAATTATTTGTTCATTTATTTAATTGGTCGTTTTAATTGATTTTTTTCCAATTATCATTTTTTTCTTATAGTTAATTTATACAACACCAGCTGCATTAGCTCTTACCAATCAAACTGGTGCACCATCAGCTTATCCGCTACTTGTAAGTAGTCATGTATTGGTTATTGTTAGTAGTATTGTTATTTTTAAAAATTTATTTAAACATTTCTATTTTTTTCTTTTTCTTTGTGTAAATAATCAGAAATGCATTTTTGTGATAATTTACTAGTGTTAACCTTGTTAACATTTATGGGTGTGTGTGTTTATGGGTGCTTGTTTATGAAAGAAATATTAACATTTATATTTTGCATCTATGAAATGCAGTTTGAATAATATGTAGATCTTTAACTGTGATACAGGTTAATATAGTATTAATAAAACTGACAAGAAGTTCATGAAATCATTGAATACTAAATTTTTAGAGTTAAGAATATGATATAGACGGAAACTATCAATAGCAACACCAGTTGTGATGTAAAACGGCTGGAAATGTTCAACAGCAATCCCCGAAGCTAGGCTTCATACTAGTTGAGACGGATCAACCAGACATATCTGCAACATCAAAGAAATTGATACATCCCTTAATACTCAAAGCTTTATGCCATGTAGTATCACAATCATAGGTGTCATCACTCAGACAATTAGTATGTAACTAAATAACTGTAGGATTGAGATAGTTTGAGATTGTGATGTCCTATGGTCCGTTACGTATCATGTGACAGAACCGCCAATCAGAAAACCGACTTCTATGAACTTATCCCTAAGCTAAACCAATGATACGTCAAAAAACAGCGCTAGCAGTCTTGAGTCTTTATTGATCCTGAGTTTAATAGCTTCTCACCTAGACTAGCCTATTGAGTCCAGAACACAAATATCAAACTCATCTATTTGAATTGTATATTTCAGACATACTTGGTTTGTATACAAACACACAAGACCGCATCACACTATAAGATGAAAAATAATGATTATATAAGATCAAGTCAAAAAAGTGGTTGTGAGTATGGAATACTGTAACTAATAAATAGGGAATAAATTAAGAATGATAAGTCGTATAACAGTAGCTAATAGGTCACTATTCATTTATTATTCGTTTAGATATAATAGCAACCACTCAACAACAAATAATATACATCGTGATATCTAGGAAAACTAGATTAGAATAGGACTAATTGAATTCAATTAGCGCTAAGGGAACTAAATGATCTAATATCGATTACAGCTGAAAGATCAATTATTGTGGATAATATTCACTGAATTATCCAAAGACATTTTATACTCATGATTTGTGAGTAGATTAATGAAATACCACAACATTATATATCCGTATAAGTCTATACCTTTTTAGCTTCTTTTAACAAATATGACATGGTTTAAGTGATCGTCTGTTATCTTGATATTAACTTGGTAGAGCATGTTATATATGCTTTAATTTTCATTCATGTTAATGGTTCATAATTCACTGTATACTATAATTTACGAACTTAGTGAATGAAATATGTGATAAATGTATCCTTTCCTTTCTTATGACTGAATTGAATCCACTAATGAATCTTACAGCTATGAATAACTAGGGAAATATAGGAAAGATAATTTTTGCTTATTTATATGACGATGGCATATTTATTTATAAAGTTATATTTTCTAGTAAATGACTTGCAATAAATTGGCAGATCCACCAGTGAGGTCTGACTTGTTAATAGTTAAACAATTGTTTTAACTAACTGATGCATCATAGAATAATGATTATGGAATTAGAGGGAAACTTATAAATTTGGTTACGTCGTCTAACTAATAAGTGAGTGAACTTGAATTAAAAAAAAACATCATTTCACGAAATTTAGTTTAGATCAATCTTATTCCCTTATCATTTTTGGTAATAGACTTCTCCTATCTTCATTTTCATTGTTCAGATAATATCTCACAGCCGTAAGATATCATAACTTTCAGTAACCTCATCGTTTCTTAACTTTAAACATTCGTTTCATGGAATTGTTCATCAGTAATCATTTTTACAGTGAACCAATTAGGAAACAGAAGACATTGCACACTTTCAATATTTCCACAAACACACTAGAACAACAGTCGTCCTGGGTGTGTGTTATCCTTACTTTCGTTGAACTGCTTGATCCACTTGAAAGGATAAGGATTTTTTTCGTTATATCATCTCTATAAACAGTCATCAGCATTTCATGAATTTCGTTTGCTTAATTCTGTCCATATTCAATAATCTTAGTAACTCAGTTCACTTATATTTTTTTTCTAAGATAGTACTCGTATGCGATAAGTATCACGAACAAATTTATCATTCAATTAAATAAAATAAGCAAATATATTAAAGTTTTCTGTTTCTGCGATCCCATCTCAAATGTTAATACTAATAGGATTTACTCAGAAATTTCATTTTAAGGATGGATTCATTATACAAACCAATCACATAGCATTTGTTTACTTCAAACACCTAATACAATCTTAACTCAATTGGAATCTGAAGTTTTTATTGAAACTACTTAGTAGTAGTTATGTATTAGACAGGATAAATTAGTAGTAACAAATTGATTACTTTTGTTAAAACATTTAAATTAAACTGTAGCATAAGAACAAAATGAATACTAACAGAACAATCTAAATTATTCGTTCTTACTTTGATATCAATAAATAAACTTCATACAATGTCTATTCCTCTACTATACAACTAAAATATTACAAATAAACAAGTTGTTTATGTTACTGGAAACTAATATATGATTAAAACATTCGTTAAAAAACTTCGGCGAGACTCTAATTTAGGGACGACCTTTGAACGAATCTTAAATGACTTTGACAATTATTAGCCAATCAGGAGACAGTTAGTATAAAGTAAAAATATATTATAAGAAAGTAATGAATTACAGTGGATATTCTTCTTTTACATGATTGAAAAACGTGTTAAGGTTTGATAAAGGTTCAGAAATTCTGAATTCATAATGCATATGGTATAGAAACTCGTCCATAGGGTTAGGGTTTAGGGTTAGAGATTAGGGTTAGGGTTAGCTTAGCATTAGGGTTTAGGGTTAGGGTTAAGGTTAGGGTTAGGGTGCTAACATACGATCGGTTTACAACGGATTTTAGAGAAGAGGTGTTTATTGAGAGGCTACAACCCTAACCCTTACCCTAACCCTAAACCATAACCCTAGCCCTAGGCTACAACCCGAACCCTAACCTCTAACCCGAAACCCCAACCCTATGGACGAGTTTCTATACCATATGCACTATGAATTCAGAACTTCTGAACCTTTATCAAACCTTAACAAGTTTTCCAATCATGTAAAAGAAGAATATCCACTGTAATTCATTACCTTCTCATAATATATTTTTACTTTATACTGTCTTCTGATTGGCTAATAATTGAAATTGCTCAAACTCTTCTGATTGGCTCGTCCCTAAATTAAAGTCTTGCCGTCCCATCTGTTGTAACCTCTCATTAATCACCTCCTCTCTAAAATCCGCTGTGAACCGATCGTATGTTAGCATCGCGTGTTGAACTTGGCTCCGTGACCTTGAAATTGCCCAAGCGCTTCTGATTGTCTCGTCCCTAAATTAGAGTCGCTCCAAAACTCCATTCTTACCAAACGTCAAAACATTTGTCGATTATAAATTTTACTACTTGTAAGTAGCATAAAATGTTTAATATAAAAATATCGTTACCTTGTTTCAAATTAACCGTTAGTGATATATCATTAAGTAATAAATATAATTTTGCATTAATTACCTAAATAATTAATTAGTTTTCTTTAAATTTTCTAAAGCCTTTCTCTTATTTTGTCAAACATAATCCATACAACTGTGTTTCTAACTTGCTTTTCTTTTTCGTTGAAAATCTTAATTGAGCTTGTTGGGTGTGTTTTAATATTTACCACTGAATTTTCCTAACGACTGATTTTTTCCTTTTTTTTTGGTTTTATATTATCGTAATACTTGTTTTGTGATTAAAATACGAACTTATTCGACATATTTATGACGATAATAATGATGATGACAATAATTTGAAATGTAATGGTTTTATTTAATACTAAACCTATTGCTGTGTGCTGTGTATCTATGAATGCATATGAATGATTTGATTTCTACTTCTTATAAAACTATTAATGTTTGTTTCTTTTTCTTCTTTGCAGTTTTTATGTTTTTTCGAATGATATTACTTGTGTTTAATTCTGTGTTGTTTATCATTATCATCATCATCACTGTTATTATTATTATTATTATTGTTATTATCACTAATGACCTCAACAAATCTCATCATTGTAACAACTAAATTATCTCTTTAAAGTCATTGAATCGTTATTTTTATGACTCATATATCTATCTATATCCGTATATTTGTGCATGGATGTGTCTTTTCAACGAAAGCCAATTTGATCACCTTCTTTCATCGATATTTCATTTAGATGACTGCATTTCAAATAAATTAACCTTAATGAGATTAAGGGGTTGAAACAACAAAAGAGGAGAATAAGATTTCATTAGAGTATATATATATATATATATATCATTAAGGCTGTCAAGGTTATCTTTTACATAATCGTCATCATCATCAACATCGTGATCGTTCTCGGCTCCTTCTTTTTCATTATTATCTTCAATGATAACAAACTTACATTCTGATTGTATTGTTAATTAGTATACCAACAGAGATAGAATCACCACATAGGAAAAAAGAGTGTTTAATTAATTTCTTCAATAATATTTATAATCATTTATTGATTATAGGTAATAATAATAAGCACAAACAAGCGTATCATGTTTATAATAATGATAATAATAATAATCCATTTGAACAAGTATGAATGATGAAAGTTTTACCTTTACATAGAAAAAGAACATTAAAGTATAAAGGAATTAATGAGATGAGAATCATTATTTGGTAGGATGAATGAATTTTATCCATTTTATTTAAACATTTTTTTCCGTTTCATTCTTCACTATGATTGATTTGTAATAGTTCGATAGTGTTTAATTAAATATGATGATTATTTGATAGTTACTGTTATACATTGAAACCCACCGACCAATGTCCATGTAGCTAGTCACCAATCAGAATTTGATTCTAATTTATTTACCTAC